CTAGCAAGACCCCATCATTTAAAAAAAAAAAAATTAAAAATTAGCCATGGTGGTATGCAACTCTTGTCTCAGCTAATTGGATGGTTGAAGCAGGAGGATTACATGAGCCCTGGAGTTTGAGGTTGTAGTGAAATTGCTATGATGATCCCTTTGCAGTCTAGCAGGGCAATAGAGCAAGACTCTGTCTTAAAAAGAAAAAGAAAAGATTCCTGTTGACACAATACAATTATCTAATATAACATACAGGCCTTAGTTAAGTTTTCCCAATTGTCCCAATGTCCTTTATAACCAAAACCAACACCCAGAAAAATCTTTGTTCTTGTCCAGTCTCAAATCTAGAATTATATACTGCATTTAGTATAAATGTGCTGAAGAAGCTACAAGAAAAAAATAAAGAACATTCCTTGAATATATCAATCTGTACATATTTTGAAAATGGAGGCTGGTTGTAAACTAGAGCAGTGGTTCTCAACCTTCCTAATGCTGCGACCCTTTAATACAGTTCCTCATGTTGTGGTGACCCCCAACCCCCACCTGTAAGATGCTCTGTTGCTCGCACAGAGCTTTTGGTTGTCTTGGCACAGATGTCCAAACCTAATCATGTTATTGATACCACCATAGGACGCTTGAGAAGGAGAAAGCTCCCAGAATGTAGGTGGAAAATTCTCAGAACAAATCCACTCTTGTATATGAGGGATGTATAGAGATTCTATCCTATTGGAATTTTCAGTTCATCATTGAATTTGCTTTAAGATGTTATAGAACAATGATGCCCAATGATGTGATCGTATAAGGGTACTTAGCCTGAGAAATGAGGTCAAGCTTGAAAGGAAGCAAGCAGACGAGTGAGCACCTGAAGTGAAAGCCAACTGCAGCACTGCACATCTCCTGTAAGGAATCTGATGCCACTCATGCAGATCAGCATTCGCATCTCTCAGCTAGCAATCATTATCTCTATCTGTGAGTATCAAAAACCTGGCCTCCCTAGTGCTCTCCTTTCTTGGTTACCATCGAGAATCTATTAGGAATGCCAGGATCAAATGATATACTCGAGACAGCTACCCATGTCTAGAGGAAGGATATTCAAATATCTTAAGAGGTATTTTCTGTGGAGTGGTAATGAATTCAAAGTAGAAGAGAACTGCCTAAGAGATCACGTTGTCTAGTGATTTTTCATTTTGCTTTTTGGGGTTTGTTTTGTTCTTTTTTTT